TGTACTGTCGAGGCTGCCGTTTAGTGACTTTCCTTACAGCACCCACATCATTCCCTGCCACTGGCTTCCCCTTTGTCGAATCAAACCCTACCGGTATACCCAATTTCTTCATCATCTCAATCTCTTCCTCATCCATCATCTCTTCATCGCCACTCCCCCCCTCCTCCTTCTTCTTCTGCTTCTTCTGTTCTTTCGCTATCCCGTCCACAAAATCCTCAACCTCTCTCCGCGTATCCCTATCCCTATCCTTATCTCTATCGCCATCGTCTTTTCGTCTCTTTCTAGGAGGACTTTCCACTGAGGGACGGTGGTGACGGTGGCGGTTGCGGCGGTCAGTGGGAGAACGGGAGCGGGAAGTAGAACGGTGGCGGTGGCGGTGACGGTCAGTGGAAGGGGAACGAGTTCGGGAGCGAGTGTGTCGACTGGTTTTTATATGGTCAGGGGTGTAAGAACGTTCACGGTCTCTCCGGTCACGGTCATCCCGGTCACGTTTCCGATCTCTGTCTCTATCCTTGTCCCTCTCTCGCTCTCTCTCCCGGTCACGGTCACGATCCCGGTCAATTTCACGGTCACGGTATCGAGTTCGGTCACGGTCGGTCATCGTCCCGTTAAGGGAAGGAGAGTAGAAGGGTTTTGAAGTTTGAACAAAGAAGAGACAGTGATATTGTTTTCCTCGGAAGGATTTAGGAGAAATGCAATCCCGGTTTTGCGCTATTTACTCTTTTTCTATGGGTGTTTACGGGCCGGGCTGACCCGTTTTCAGCCCGTTACTATTCACGTTGGGGCGGGTTGGGACGGGGCCCGAGTTGTGCGTTCACGTTTAGACTAACGGTACCCCGAACCCGTTAAATCCGAATTCCTTAACGGGCTGAACACGGGCTGCAGCCCGTTAACAGCTCGGTTTCCGTTTGAAATTTTTTTTTTCAATTAAATTGGACCGTTCCCAACGGTCAAATTCAGAAATAACCGTTGGGAAACGGCCAGAAATTGCAGAAACGGCCAATTTC